TACTCTTGCGATAGTGTTCTTGCTTGATTCGATCTTAGATTGTGGGAAGGAATGTTGACTTAGCTTGTTCGAGAAGCGATCAAGTCTAAGGCCGCATGGAAGGAAAACTCCGAAAAAGTCATCCCGTGACACTATGCCAGAGTTTCTTTGATCTTGCGTGATCGTTAGTGGAGGATCCCTAGAGTGTCTTAATTTTAATGTTAGATCGCCCTGTTATTGTAATGGCCCTTTGTGTCTAGGGGTTTTTTTTTAAGCCGAATTATCAATGCAATCCCATAATTTCTCAACCAAAAAAAAAAAAAAAAGTTCAATTTCAGTATTTATAAGTTCACCAAACATGTGACATGACTTTTGTTCAATTTAACTAAAATAGCACAGTCCAAGCCATCAAGCGTGGCTTATTGTTCTTAAGTGATCAAATTAGAAATACCAATAATGTTGGATCAAGACTAGTCTTTTATGTTCACGATAGTTCGTTTCCCAAAAAAATATATGAGTCGTGATTCAGAAATATAAGTCGGGACATACCTCACTGGGAATATTAAAGTTTTTCTTCGTTTCTTATGAAAGTGGCTTTTTCTTCAAAGATTTGGCCCATCCTTGAATTTTTTTTGGTCAAAAGGAAATTTCATTACTAAAGAAAGATTATGAAAGGATAGTTACATAAAGTAAGCTCAAAATAATCAGGTTAGGTTAGAGAGATGTAGGAGGCACATAGTACTTTTTTTAAAGATTCAAAGAAATACATGAGACAGTTCCTCCATCCACGCAAAATGAGCCCAAAATGCCTAAAATCCAAACAAAAGGCGACACCAGACATTTGCTTCAGAGAGAGCTTAGGTCTTGGGCATATAAAGTTGCCACAAAGGGCCATGTTAACTTCCATACCAAGTTGCCAACCCTAGAGAATTAACATGTGCCTTATTGCAACGTACATTATGGGTCATTTCCTATAAAGTCTTCAAAAATAAATAGAAGGCATGGAGAAAGAAACAGATGTTAGTTACAGAAAATTAAAAGAAAAAACATCAAAACGAAGCAACACATGTGGATGGACTGTCTGTGGGGATCGCTGCTCTACTTTCAAAACAGCCTAATCAATAATAATTTATTAATTTGTGAAAATCTTTGAGAGTTCTCATCTATTATTATTAATTTTGAAGAAAATTCATAGTTGTAAGTTCGTAACATCAAACAGAAGACAGTTTGTGTAAACTTCTTTTTTTGGCATGAAGTTTGTGTGAAGACGTTGATAGATATAGTAAGTTCTCTTGGCTCTTGTTACACTAGTTCCTCTTGGGTTTTCCACCCAGTTCTTAATCTTTGTACCTTTTTTGTTGTTGTGTGTTAATGTGGCATTTAGGGTCCACTTGGATGGAGTGACTTCAAATTTAGAAATTTCGATGACTTATAAAGTTAAACTGTTTGTTTGGATTACATTCATGTATACCATGATTTCAAATCCAATTCAAATAGGAAAATACGTCCCTCCTTATTATGTATGCAGGAGCTCCTACATTCCTGTCAATAACAGTGTGACATGTGTGCATAAATTTTTATTTTTGTATTTTTGATGAATTATTTTTGCATATGTGTCAAACTGTGATTCGTAGAAATAATCTATATATATAAAGCAAAAGGCAGAGAATAATGAAACATTCAAAATACCAGAAAATGCCCTTGGTTAATCCAAACATTAAGAATTAAAATTATTAATTAAATGAGGATAATATGGTAAATTCACACTTTTTCATATTAAAAAAAATTAAAATTAAAAGAAAAATAAGATAATAAATCCTATATATTTTTATGGAACACAACTACCCATTATCTTTTTTAATTCTAAAATAAATTAAATTTTTTTTATAAAAATAAAGCATCTAGTAGGCGCGGAAGCGCGTGCCGCTTGCAAAGAGGCTAGTGAATTAGAGTAAGGAGGCACGTAATATCCTTACAGTTAAGTCTCCATCTCTCTTAATTTCGGCCAAAAAAGAAAAGTCTCCAACTCTCTGAAATTGGCCTATTCTGCATTATATGATGCCTTTCTCTATCTTACCTGTTGTCTACCAGTCATTTCCAACCACCATCTGATGTAGTACAGCCCGTAGGTATTAGATTAAGCACTTAAACAATAGAACATAGAAGAATATAAGAGACCGAGGAGAAGAAATATAGATCGAAAAGACGAGATAAAGGGCAGAAACAGTAGAACAAAGAAGAATATCGGGGATCGAGGAGAAGAAATATAGATCGAAGGGACGAAATCAGAGAGTTCTAGGAAAAGGTTTACTCAACATTCAAATCTCCATTTTAAAGAACTACATGGGGGTATTTATAGCAAACTAAAACCTAGACATAATAGGATAAAAATCCCTTGCTTAAACAGAAATCCTAACCCAAATAAAAAAGGAAACTTAAAACTAGAAATCTGGAAATCTGGAAAAGTAGAAATCCTACTAGAACTTGGAAAATTAGAGAATCTAGGAAACTAATAAATTTAGGTCCTACGCGTCCTGCATCATTCTCTTCCGGCGAAAAGAACTCGACTCCGACGAGTAAACAACCACAAAAGGTAAATTAATGACAACAACGCCGACTGCAAGTATGAATAATAGGGGACGAGGGTCAGCAATCATAAATGTCCGGATCATAGACACCTTCGAGAGGCTCCACAATCTCACAAAGCTCACTAGCGGGAGTGTTGATAGTTAAAGTTCGCATGGCAATGGAAACATTCAATGCGAGCATTAGTAGAAACAGCCGGTCCTTTGTTAGGTGGTGGTGCAAGCGGTTTAGATGGTCCTGAAAACCCGGTATGCATATCCGTAGTGGGAAGAGTTTGGTTGGCGATTGCAAGTTGACCAGAATATCCTGAATGTTGTGGCGACAAATATGTCTCAGCTTCCAATGCATGACAATATGCATCTTCCAAAGTATGCGAACGGAACCGCCGAACTTCACACTTGATATCGTCACGAAGACCATGGATAAAGCAAGACATAGTGATGTCGGGTTCTTCACGAATCCCCGCATGTATCTTGTGTTCGATAAAACGAGCGTGGAATTCAGTAACGGTCGAACTGCCTTGTGAAAGGGTCCATAATTGTTCATATAATTGATGGCGACAAAAGGTGGGAAGATATTGTTCGCGAAGTGTTGCTTCAATTCAGCTGCACCAAAATGGTTTCAACTGCATCCTCAACTTGTGATCCTCGCAAGTGCACGAGCCGTTTGGTAGTATAGCATATGTAAGTGCGAGGTCGATCCCACGAGGATTGGTGATTGAATGATCCAATTTGTTTCCCCTACACAAAATAGAAATGAAAAAAAGAAAATAAATAAAACAAGAAAGAATGAAATAACTCAAGCAAATAAGTTCCCAAGTTCAATGAGATTAACGGATTGATTCTAGCTAAAGTATGATTAAGCCATGGTGTTTGGTTGGAGTAGTCACTGGAGGAGGGCCCGTTGTGTGTTGGGTATAATGGAGTGGTGGCATAGTCCCAAAAGAAAAAGGGGGCTCCAATTGAGCCTTGGGCGTGTCTAGCGAGAGCCCAATTGAGCTATGCGACATGCCGTATGGCATGGCCTTGAATTTCTGATCCACCGGTGGAGTGGGCAAAAGGCCACTTTGTGGCGGTGGCGTAGACGAACACGAGAGCACCGCTGAGGTAGAAGAAGGTTCAGCGTGTCCAGCCCGAAAGTGATTGATGAGCAATTGAACGGAGTCTTGGAGTTTGGTGATGGCAAGGTCCGTCGTCGCACGATGTGTGTGAGCCTGTACCAACTCGTCTTTGAGGTCAGCACTGAGTTTGGAGAGTTGGGTTTCCATGCCAGCGATATCGTGGGAAACTTTGTCTTGGAATGCATGAAATTGTTCCCCAAGGCTGGCCACGGTTTGGGGTGCCATGGCAGAGATCAAACGCAAACGAAAGTGAGGGAAGGCTCTGATTACCAATTGATGTAGTACAGCCCGTAGGTATTAGATTAAGCACTTAAACAATAGAACATAGAAGAATATAAGAGACCGAGGAGAAGAAATATAGATCGAAAAGACGAGATAAAGGGCAGAAACAGTAGAACAAAGAAGAATATCGGGGATCGAGGAGAAGAAATATAGATCGAAGGGACGAAATCAGAGAGTTCTAGGAAAAGGTTTACTCAACATTCAAATCTCCATTTTAAAGAACTACATGGGGGTATTTATAGCAAACTAAAACCTAGACATAATAGGATAAAAATCCCTTGCTTAAACAGAAATCCTAACCCAAATAAAAAAGGAAACTTAAAACTAGAAATCTGGAAATCTGGAAAAGTAGAAATCCTACTAGAACTTGGAAAATTAGAGAATCTAGGAAACTAATAAATTTAGGTCCTGCGCGTCCTGCATCACCATCATTAATCAGTTTCCTTAAAAACATTTGTGCAATGCATGAAAATAGAATTAAATTATGTGCCTTCTTAGAGTACTGGCCTAAGACCATACTGGGGTCAACCCCAGACCTCAGTAACCTACTTGCAAATCTAATTTTTTTTTCTAATTTTTTTTAATTTATCAAATTTAACTCTATTATCAAATCAAAATCCTTTATTTCAACACATCCATTCGAACTGTCAGGAAAAAAAAAACAAAAAACAAGAAGACAAAAGCTTGGTGTGTACAGTGTATTGATGGAGATGACGATCACAATACGACTCTCTGTGTGTGTCATAAGTGTGTATTGTGTTCTCAGACAATTGTTGCATGTGGCTAGCGACTACTAGCCGTAGCGTCTAAATTATTTCTTCCCCAATCCAAATTGCAGCACGAATTATAATTGATTGTGAATCGGTCGGATTTATGTTTGTACAAGTCTCCTGCTATTTAATTTCTGACAATATGATCCTGACTATACATTATGTTTAACACCTGTAAATTTATCTCTTGTGCAGTATATATTAATCTTCCACGTGATAAAACCAAAGAATAAAATAAAAATATAAAAAGATTTAGTCTTTAAATGGCGGAGGAAATCCCAGTTTTTGAATGGTACCTTCTAATTTAGCCTCTTGACATCCAGAAAAAATTATAAGAAAACAAGAAGAAGAAGAAGAAAACTTGAGAAGAAAAAGAAGAAGATGGCAGTGTTAGCAACACAGATTTAGAGAGGATAAATGAAACTACTAGGGTACCCTTAATAGAGGGTCATGGAGATGAAGGAGGCGCAAACAAAACAAGCTGGTGGAAGAAAGTGTTGGACATGGAGGAGGCCAAGAAACAGGTCTTGCTTTCATTGCCAATGATTTTTACCAATCTTTTCTACTATTTGATCACTTTGGTGTCAGTCATATTTGCTGGCCATCTTGGGAAGCTTGAGCTTGCTGGTGCAACCCTTGCCAATTCATGGGCCATTGTTACTGGCTTTGCTTTCATGGTAACTCTCTCTCTCTCCCCTCTGACCCTTATATACTCAGTATGATTGCAGACCTTTGCGTTTAATTCTTTTCTTGTCTGTTCTTGTTTTAGGTTGGGTTAAGTGGAGCTCTTGAGACGCTTTGTGGACAAGGGTTTGGTGCAAAGTTGTATAAAATGTTGGGGATCTATCTACAAGCCTCTTGCATCATATCTTTCCTATTCTGTTTCATCATATCTATAATCTGGTTCTACACAGAACCTATACTTATTTTACTCCATCAAGATCCTCAAATTTCCAAGTCTGCTGCTGTTTTTATGAAATTTCTGATTCCAGGGTTATTTGCAAATGGATTCCTGCAAAACATCTTGAGATTTCTTCAGGCACAATTTGTTGTCCTGCCATTGGTCTTCTCGTTCGTCCCCCTTGTTATTCATTTCGGCATTGCTTATGGTTTGGTACATTGGACAGCTCTTGGTTACAAGGGAGCTCCACTGGCGGCTTCAATTTCGTTATGGTTATCTGCCCTTTTGTTGGCCATGTATGTCATCTGCTCAAAGAAGTTTGAGCATACATGGGAAGGCTTTTCGTTAGAATCGTGATTGAATTCAAGGGCTGGACTGTGGACGTATAACATCAATTGAGGGTTTGAACTCTTGAAGTATTAACTCAGATGCTGGCATGCTTCCCTACAACTATAGCATAGCAGCATTATTATCTATAGGAGTATGAGATGGAATTTGCAAGGTTAAACTCACAAACCTTTTTAACCTTTCCAGTTTGGAGGAATGGGTTTTTGAGATTCTGGTGTTGATGGGAGGAGGATTGATGCCAAACTCGGAAGAAACAACTTCACTAATGGCGATGTGGTATGCTTCAATATACTTTTTTTTTCCTCTCCTTTTCTATAACTGTTACAATATTGCAGGCTGACTCAAATTAATCTTTCTTTGAATATTTTCTCGTCAGTGTGAATACAGAAGCAATTGCATACATGATTATATATGGCCTCAGTGCTGCTGCAAGGTTGGAGGTAGAACAACAATCCAGCTTTTTTATATTGCTCCAAGTTTTTCGATATCTAGATTCTGTTTCGCACATTGAAACAAAAGTTACTTGTTGTGGTGCAGCACAAATTGGGAGCTGGCAATCCTGACAAAGCTAAGAAGGCAATGGCTGTGACTTTTAGGCTCTCTATGCTTCTTGCTTTAGTTCTTGTTCTCGCTCTAGCGGTCGGTCACAATATCTGGGCCCTGCACGAAGTCCAATGGGTCAATCCGTTTAAATCTCATTTAATAAATTATATTTATTTTATAGTAAAATAATACATAATATTATTATATTGATATCTTAACTCCAAGTTTATTTTTTTTTAAAAATAATATATATTAAAATTTAATGTTTTCTTTATAAATAAAATAAAATATATTTTTTTTTTTCAATTTTCAATTTTTAAAACCCGAAGAATGATATTATTATGCACTTTCCATGACATAAATTTGCTTGCATTAACTTTTTTTTTTTTTAATAACGTGAGCAGGAGTACTGATTCACGAAGAGAGGTGAGGCATCCCATAGATCTTAGGGTTTTATTTTATTTTATATCTTTATAATTTTTTATTACATCCGACAAAAGTTAGTAGAAAGTCTTGAATTTTCATTTTAGTACAGTAAATAGTTCTAGGCATCCAGTTCTAGGTAAGGGGCTTGTAGATGGAGTAGTAAGCATTTATTCGTGAACATATAAGTTGAATTCCACAAACCCAATATTAGGAGTGGGCATTCAATCCGGAAAATCGAGTTGAATTGGGCTGAAAAAAGGGAAAAAAATTGGGTTGATAAAAAACCAGACAGACCGGTTTGGTCCGATTTTGGTTTTGATTCTTATAGTTAAAAAATTGAACCGAGCCGAGCCTAACCAGCGGTGTATTTTTAAATTTATTAATAAAATATTTAAGTCCAATGCTAAAGTTCTAAACCCATAACTAATCTTTCTCCAAGTCCAAGTCGAAATCACCCTTTTTTTCTAGGCCCAATCACCTCCATTTGCATGAAATTGAGTTATTTGTGAATTTTTGAGCCCCAAAAATAAAATTTTAGTTGGATTTTGTAAAAATTTAAAATTTAAAAAAAAAAAAAGAAAAAAGATTCCTGTTCAAAATCGGCAATCGAACTGGTTTATAGGCAAGCCGCTGGACCACCTTGGATAATTTTTTCGTCAAAACCGGACCAAACTGTGCCCACAGCTACCCAATATCGCTTCTATAAAGAAAAATAAAATAAAATAAATTCCCGGGTACATTGAACGACATGAATTAACTTCACGTAACGACCCGCCGTTTCACACAGCGAGCGGTTGTTTTCACTTTTCTGTGTGTGCTTGCTGTGAGTTTCCCCAACGTATCTCTCTCTCTCTCTCTCTCTCTCTCTCTCTCGTTAATGTTTTAGACCTTTGCTTCAATTGAAATAAATCAAAATTTCTGTTTCAAATTTTGCTACGAAAACAGTTGAGATTTGGAGCACCAAAAAAGAAAAGAAAAAACGCTTGGGATTTTGTTTTTGAGAAAAAGAAAGGGAGGAAATGGGCGATAGAGACCGCGATTGGGATTGGCATCTGAGAACCTTATCGAGCAGTGCCAGAGACTCCAACGTCGCCAATGATCCTGCTTCCGATTCTTCTCTTCTCCAATCCGTGAGTCCTCTCTCTCTCTCTCTCTCTCTCTCTCTATCTCATCATTTTCCTAACTCTCTGTTTGTTTCTTGAGAAAAAGGGGAAGGGAAATCAAAAGCTGAGCTTAATTATGAACCGAACATACACTAAGAGGCTTCCTTTTTCTTTTTTTCCCATTTATCTGATTTAAAATAAAATATTGTTTTTTTGGTTGAATTAAATGTTGATTAGGTGAAGAAGCTATATGAATTGTGTAAAGATGAGAATTCAGAGGATTTGGTGGCTAGAGTTTATCCGCAGATTAACAAGCTCTTTCAACGCTCAGTGGCTTCGCTGTCTCAATCTGAAACCTCTATTGGCCTTCTATTGCTGGTTCGTTTTATCTTTTCCATTCTTTTTAATTTTTTTACTCAGCCCTGTGTTGTTACTGTTTCATTTTGTCTAACTTCTGAGAAAAGACTAGGAAATGAAACCAAAATAAAAATAAAAATTGTTGATTAATGTCAAGTAGTGTTTTTAGAATTTAGACGGTACAGAAAATGGTATTGGGATGCTTACAGAAAGCACCAGAAATAGGTATATGTGATGCTTAAGGTTTCATATCCATTTGAGTATTTGACTTTTCCATGCTGAAACCTCAGGGGCGTTCGTGTAAACCTGAGGGTGTTTTGTGAAAAAGCCAAAAACCCGATGGATTGTTGGTGTAAATAACTCATGATTCATTTTGAAAATAAATTGGAAGTGCTTTCTACTGGGTTCCCTAAGGTCTGTGCTTTCCCTTGTAAGATAATAAATAAATGCTTGTTCACTAGGGCTTGCACTTATGTAAGCAATAAGATGAAGGGTTTTCTGGAGAAGTTTCACTAATCTATGGGAAAGCGATAAGAATGTAAAAGAGAATCTCTTCTTTCAGTGTCTAGTAGTGTTGATTTTCAGAAGCCCTTTTGTTTTCTTTTTTCATTGACCACGGAAAGAATAAGTGAACTCTTATTTTCTGTTACAGTATAATAACTATTTCAGTTTTCGTGTCATCTTTTTTATTGGTCTGAGAACATTTTATTGACAAAGCCACAACAGTGGATATGGTAAAGAGTCATATCCACCGTCTCCATTTTTTTTATTTTATGGTGTTACCTTTTTCTTTCCAATGATGAGGTTGGCGTGTATGATAAATTTTCTTTTTGGAAGATGCCTTGCTCAAACTTCAATTACCCTGATTTTTCTGCCAGGCCATTCTTCAATTTTACCTTGATTTTGGAGAGATAGTTCTACATGATGCTGATCCCAGTCTCAGGACATTCTTCCGTTCATGCTTGAGCCGGTAAATGATCTACACCATTTCAGATTATTTTTTAGGCTGCTTAAAAGTATATGATATCGAGTGAAATTGGGTTTCTCCTTTATCTATGTTGACATCTACCTAGTAATTAGTTGTATGACATGGAAGTTGCTCTTTTGTAGTCAGTTGCTCCATCATAATCATTTGTTTGGTTTTTACTACAAGAAAAGGAAAAAAAAAAAAATTGTGGCAAGATTAACCTGCAAACTTCTAGAAATTTTGTAAGATAAAATGGAAGAAAGGAAGATTTTTATTTGTTACTTCAGTGTTTTGAAACTTCTCCAGTATGAAACCTAAGTTCCATTGGTCTATTTCAAGCTCCAATACTTGGGTCAATTGATGCAGGAGATGAAATGAAGAATGACATACTTTGTGCACCTTGTCCTCCTTTACAAAACCTTGATTTGTTCTTTGAATATGTCAGTTCTGATGATGAAGATGTTCTTAACTCTATAGTTGTCCATGGACTCATGTCAGGGTCTCTGCCTGTTAAATGTTAAATATGATGTCATGTCAAGGATAGAGTCAATAAGAAGCATATTGACACGAAAAGTACTCTCTAGATTCTTTTGTACTTTAAAGAGAAAGTTATAAATGTTTAAACTTCAAAAAATGCACTAACTGAAATATCATCTGCACTACTTTCCATTTGGTGTTGAAACGAGCATTTCTTTTCTTGCTTATATTCTTACATAAATTTTCCATTTCCCTTGTATGAAATCTAACTACAAATATGATGGCCATCACACTTCAAATTTTCTAATCTGGTTGCAGTGAGTTTGCAGATCCTGTTGTTGCAGAAGCAACCATTGACTTTCTGAATGCCAACAAGAAAAAACTTTTAACTTCTTTCCCTACCTTACTTCCTCAGGTATGACTGATATCTACATCATTTTCTGTTTGTAAGGAAATTGATGCAGGACGCATAGGACCTAAATTTATTAGTTTCCTAATGTATTTGTTAGTTTCCTAGATTCTCTAGTTTTCCCAATTCTAGTAGGATTTCTACTTTTCCAGATTTCCAGATTTCTAGTTTTAAGTTTCCTATTTTATTTCGGTTAGGTTTTCTGTTTAAGCAAGGGATTTTTATCCTATTATGTCTAGGTTTTAGTTTTCTATAAATAACCCCATGTAGTTCTTTAAAATTCAAAGAGTAAACCTTTTCCTAGAAGAACTCTCTGATTTCGTCCCTTCGATCTATATTTTCTTCTCCTCGACCTCTGATATTCTTCTTTGTTCTACTGTTTCTGTCCTTTGTCTCGTCTTTTCGACCTATATTTCTTCTCCTCGATCTCTTATATTCTTCTCTATTCGATTGTTAAGTGATTAATTTAATACCTACGGGCTGTACTGCATCAGAAATAGTATGACATCTACCTGTTAGCAAAAGTAAATATTGTGTTGAAGTCTGTATTTTCATATTATTCAAAAGTGTTGGTGGCACTTCGCAATTGTGTAGTTGTTTTGCATCTAATGCAATAAACACTTACATTCACGTGTAAATTACAAAGAATCACTTAGTAAACATGTCTAAGTTACGATACTTGACTCAACTTTTGAAAGCTATGAAATATAAAAAGTTGAATCATGCTCGTAATTTGAGATGTAAACTGTGGGTTAGTTGACAATTCTTGCTTCTTGATAATATTCTGATAATGGTAAAGCCTATCAAAATCAGTGCCCTTGTAGTCAAAGTATTTCAAATTGCATTTATAAGTTTATACTTCTATTTTTTCCTTATTTCCTCTTCTTTTTTTTTTCCTTTTATGTGATTCTTTTTTCAATATCAGCAGTATCCTACGGAATGTTGTGAAATAACTCCATCCTGTATCTCTAACCTTAACAATGTGTCTGCAGTTCTTTCCGTTGATGTTAAAGTTGATTGCATGGAATGGGGAAAAGTGAGTTCTTTGTACCTCTCATTTGATTTTGTGCTCAAAGATACCTTTTCTATTTATACTTGTCTTTTTATAAACATGTCACATCACATATGACCAAATTGTTAGCTTTGTACACAGACACTTTGAATATATGTACATTACAAATATACTTTTTTTCGATTCTAATTGTCATTTGGCCTTATAGTGAATAGATGACTTGATTTGATAAATTTTCTAAATAAAGAGAAGCCAACAGTTGTCATCTTTGTGAATTTCCCTGCAGATTAGAAAAATCATTTATGAAGGTTTTTCCAGGATTGATGTCTCCTGGGTCATTTCTTCCATTATTTCCATCTTTAGTGGACTTGCCAAGTGAGTTTGATTATTCAGTTCACATTTATCTTTTGTATTCGCTGCATTTCTTTGATGGCACTTTATCTCTTGGCTTATTTAACCTTACAGAGCTTATACTCTGGTTGGGTCTAGATAATTTTGAAGTAGTTAAGCCAAAGTGTCAGTTGCAAAGTCCCACCATTTAGCATATAAACAACGAGGTCTTATTACTGCTGATGGTTTGTGTAGAAACTGATTTTCCCTTATTATTCATATGATCATTATACAATAAATATGCAAGTCTGTAGAGAATAATCTACAGTTAC